ACCTGCAGGTGGTACCCATGCTCAGCCCTAGTGCTGAGTATTCAAAAGGATTGAGTAGAACATCTAGAAGTATGCTATAAGTATTTCAGGCTGCTAGCTTGCCTCTAGAGGTGGGAGGAGAGGTACCAAGGGGCAGGGAGAAGGTATGTGGCAGTGAGGGTAGCAGTGGGTGGTGGGCACCTTCTGCTTGAAAAGGTTGAAAAGGTTGAACAATGCCTTTAGAGGGATGAGAGAGCAGATTGGAAGCAATGGCAATGGCTGGCATCAAGTTTGCATTTGGGGTCTGCAAATGTTGAGAGAAGCCTGCTATGAGTGTTAAACATCAACAGTGGGACTCTGGCAGCTGATGGAGGGGTTGGAACAGGGTTTGAGGGGCAGGTAGGTGGAAATAGTGAGAGTGGGCATAGCTTGTGGTTGTGTAAAGACTAGGTCTTTACTTTGCTAGTATATTACACCTGGGCTAGTGACTGTTTACAATGTATGTATTCAGCTACTAGATAGTACAGGGTAAAGTGACAACTGGTCAGCACTATTCACTGACCCAAGATTATATACTATATGGTTACATAATATCTATGTATTTACTTAGATAAGGCATAAATAAGCATGTGGATGCATATAGGCATCCATATAAGTCCATATAGACTTAGGATAATAGATTGACACAGGGTTGATCCCTTACAGGGTGTCATGATCAGATACATGAAGAAACACCTCCAGAGATATGCTAGAACCTTTGAATGTCAATTACAAGCCTCTGGAAGTGGGAGGCATGAGATGGGATGGACCAACAGATATGAAGATGGCAGAACATGCAGAAGCTGTTCTGCAAAAAAGAGGTTAAAGTATAATATACAGATGTGGAAGAGAGGGCCATTTGGGCTAGCTATGGAGGATGCAGGAAGATGTGTGAGGTGCTGAAGGCATGGAGACACTTCATCCATAAGATTCCCACAGATACAAAATCTGCAAAGGAAACACCATAAAAATAATTCATAAAAATAAGACATAAAATATGTAGATGCAAATATACGTATTAAGATCCTTATTCTCATTGTTGAAAATGGTTATCAAAATTCTGTGTGAAAATGTAACTTTGATGGTGATGTGGAAGCTAAAAATACCTGCTGCTGATGTAGTACCCATTTGTTACGTCTTAGTATCTAGGTGTCAACTTGGACTCTGGATATAATAGAATGAGTTAATATAACAGAGTCCAAAGTGTAATAAACAGAAAGGACTTTGCTTCAACATATGTGTTGTGTCCTTACTTGTATGTGATGTCCTTATTTTAGAATGGTTTGAGATGAGCAGAGGTTCAGATTCTGACATTGTTTCAGAAAAGTCAGTGACAGAAAGACTCAGAAACCAAGTATAGTGGAACAAGAATAGAACAGAGAAATGGAGGCTGGACTGAGTTAACAGAAAATAATGAGATTGATTTCTGACTACTGAACCAAAATAAATATGCAGCTATTTATACTAAAATGAAGCCCAGAAAATATAAGGAATAATTTTAATGATTGATATCTTATATCATGCTGTGCTAACTGAACTCAAGTTTCTTATTGAGTATATATGTAGTACAATGTTGTGAAGTAAAGGTATGCCAGTGCCTAATGCACCGGCACACTAAATGTGAACTGTTGTGGACACTTATGATGTCCACACTACTTATTATATAGCATATACGTACATACTATAATACATATTAGATATAACATTTATTGTTATGTTACATTCTCCCCGGCTGACTGCTACGAGCAGTCACTCATAAATATCATCTAACTCATGGTCTAAATTCATAGCACTCTCATCCTGGAGTGCTGCTAGCACCAGTCATCACTGGTACACTCATTTCCACATCAAGGGCACTGCGGGGTGACTCCTCATCTTATGGAAGCACCAGATCACACAATTGGTTGTATGCATCCAAGTCTGCATCTAATCTCTGCTGGCTAGACTCTCCAGTCTTAGCCAGCTGTGAGGTGTGAGCTGTAAGTTTTGACTGGAGTGAACCAGTCAAGGGTCTCTTGCCCTTATTGGGGGCAGGAGCGCTTTGGTCCAGCTACATATATGCAGTGCATTCTACACCAGCAGCACTATAAGGCCACTTCCCATCATCCCTTTCCATATAAGGGATGATTTGTGTATAAATTTGTTCTTTTGATAAAGAACAATGCTTGAGGATCAGAGTAAGAAACTCTGCTCCAGTAGGTAATTTCACAGGTGCTGGGACCTGTGAAGCCTTTTTGTGTCCCTTTTTTATTTGGGACCCAACCCTGATAAGGGTTGATGCATCTGTTATCCACGTGGTAGCTTGGTGGTTCAGAATGAGTGAAGTTGTTTCAAATCCATTAAAAACCATCTCAAAATTGAGAGGGCTTCCAAATACAGCTTTCATTTGATGCATGAAAGCTGGGTTGGAAATATCAGCAGCTATCTTAGATAACCATGCTGAGACATCTATATCCTCTTCAAGGAATAGCCTGTGTTTTTGTTCTTAATTGCATTAGGGACACTCATGGAATTGGTGTGCCAACCCTCCAATATGTTCCACATATGGAGTGACCAATGATTTGGTTGCTCATTGGGCTTCAGAACTTTATTCCTTCAGCTTGAGTTCTCGTCTAGTTTATGAGAACATTTCCTCGAGTAAGTCACCTTTTTAGGACTTGCTAACAGGTGAGGAACGATGTCTGATGAATAGGCGTCAGTGGGAGAAGTGACTGTTAGTGATCAGTCACTTGTGAGATTGGTAGTCTGGAGACTCTCGATTTGAGTCTCCATGATTTTTATTTTGTTGAGGAGATTGTCAATCTCCTCTTGAAGTCAATGGTTATCTGACTTCTCTTCAAATAGCTCTTTTTCAAGAGTGTCATGTTCATCACCAATATCGGTGATATAGGTCTCAATTTTGGGCCACACCTCTTGGAGACAATCTAGAATCTGATCCCTAGTGAATGAGAACTTTGAGGGACACTGTTCAATGTCCTCTAACATATGTTCCCAATAGATGGAGCACTGCTCACACCCTTTCAGGTGGTAGACGAAGCAGGCACTGAGCACAGCGCCTACCTCTACATGTGGTCTATTGTGTTTGGTTTGTTGATTGTGCAAATGCAATAGCAGGTCAGCAGCATTATTGCTGCTTGAGGTAGGACTCATTTCTGAGTCCTTGGTTTTATGGTAGTGACAAGGTCACTACCTGCATGTGGAGTCTATTTATTCTCTGCCTTGGCCTGAGACCAGCTGGCACTGATTGCATCAGTGATCTTGAGGAACCATGTTCCTCTGATTAAACTAACTACAGTTTAATCTTATCTCTGGCGACCCGTAGAATGAGTCATTCTATTATTAAAATATGTTAATAACTGTGCATATATGTGCATATATGCACAATAAGACCTCAATTTTGAGGTATTTTACTGTCTTATTGTAATTATAAGAAGTCAACACAAATATTGAGCTTTGTATTGCTGGGGATATTGTCCAAGAGCTGCTTATATATGCATATATGTGTATTAATTTCTTTTTGTGGAGGAATCTGTTGTTCTACTTCCTAATTTAGGAAGATTGCATGGGCACTTGACTCCACACAGTGCTATATATCTATCTAGAGCTTCTAATTTCTTTACACCTGAGAGAGACTCCCAAGTGACATCTCCTAGAGTCCATTGGACTCTAAATTGTAATCCTCCATTGGTCCATTCATGTCCAATGATCTCATCAATAAACCATTCTTGTTCATTGCCCTTACCAAAGTCATAAAATGCTTTGGCTTCACAGTTTGGAAACCATCTATCATTATTAGGTATGTATGGCCTAATAATACTATTATGAAAGGTCGTATAGATCTTTCTAGCCTTGAACTCTTCAGGAAGTTCAAGTACGACATTGGAGCTCTCATTTTGAGCTTCCAGGACTTTATATGGTCCTATAAACTTTGGTAAAAGTTTACAAGCCTGTCCCTTGAGCAGGTTCAGGTTCTTGGTACTTAAATATACCAAATCACCAGGGGAATATTCTTCTCCTGGTCTACATCTCTTACTTGCATTAGCTGTTTGTCTAATACAACTTGCTATAATGGCATCATGTGTCGCCATTATATTCCACTTTGCTTGTTTAGCAGATTGTTTAGGACACCTATATTTGGTATTAAAATCAGTAGGTAGGTTTATATGCACATATATTTGTATATAATTTCAAAGGGAGCATATCCTGTTGATTCACTAGTACTACTGTTTATAGTGAGTTCTACCATTGGACACTGTTCTGCTCAATCCTGCTGATCATTAGCAACTACTGTTCTTAGTATTTGCCCAATTGAACAATTAGCTCGTTCTGTTGCTCCATTGGTTTGAGGATGGAACAAAGTAGACATTAATAGTTTAGTACCTATTAATCACTGTAATTCACTCCAAAATATCGAAGTGAATTTAGAGTCACAATCAGTTTCAATTGACTCTGGTAGGACATGTAATCTGACTACTTCTTTCAAATACAGCCAAGCTACACCTCTAGCTGTAACATGTATATTTGTTGGAATTAAATGTACTTGTGATGAAAACCTATCGATGATTACCATTAAATGTACTTGTGATGAAAACCTATCAATGATTACCATTAAATAATCATACTTTTCATCATTAATTCTATCTTCTGGAAGAGGATCAACAAAATCAATACCTATCAAGACCCATGGTCCATTAGGTATTGGAAGGCTATGCAGTAGGCCAACTGGTCTATGATTATCAGTCTTGACAGTTTGACACTGTCCACATGACTGACAGAATGACTCAATGTTATTCACCATACTGGTCCACCAGTATGATCTACAAATGTATTTCGCAGTTTTATAGGCTCCAAAGTGTCTTATAATCTTATGTGGCTGGTCAATTATAGTTTGACCAGTCTCCTCCCCCTTAGAAAAGCATCCTCTGGGATGAAGAGAACATCTCTACCAAGTTGATTTTTGGTAAATAGCAGTTTGTCCTGGGGGTTGAATGGCTGAGTGGATATGCCTTCACCTCTGGCTTGGCACTTGCCAAGGCCAGCTTTTAAGTAAGAAAGGCTGTGGGTTCGAATCCCACACAAACCACCAGGGAGTTTTAGTGGGTATTGCAAGTGCAGCTGAGTCCCACAGTACCAATATAACAGTGGTCTGCGTAAATGCATTTCTTCCTGACGAGCACTCTTACAGTCACTCAAAGAACTGTCCACACATTTGCTTGTTTCAAACGAATTGCAGTATTGTGGGTGACCAAGAGTGAATCAGCTCATGATGCCAGTGTATCAAATATAGCCTAGTATCTTGGCTATACGTCTATTCAATCTTTGTGCTTTTTGGTGAAGAAATGGAGGAGATATGAATATTCTATTCTGACACATCATGTGGACAGTTTTTTTACCAGTGTTTTCCTGGACAATAACTAATAGATTTAGGCTCAGTATTCACTATGATATCATTAAAGTAGTGATGTGGAGTTATTGTGGGGCTATTATGATGTCATACAATAGGCCACATGATATATATTGCCCCAATTCAGACTGAGGGCCTCACACTCTATCATGATGCCCATCTCTGCTGCTCAAAGGGACAATGTCCTTTCTCTCCTTTCTTCTGGCCTTTCTACCAGGATATTGCAGCACAGACTGGTGTTAGCAGATCTAAGGTATCCAACATAGCCAAGGAATATAAGCCTGATAAAGAAAATCTGCCAGGAGGTCATCATAGAAAACTGACTCCTACAGATCAGAGGGCTGTACTCTCTTTGGTGAGGACTGGAAAGGCCTCTGATGCAGTTGCTGCTACCAAACACATCAAAACAATAATCCCAGAGCCTGTTACAGTACAAACTGTCAGGAATGTGCTCAAGGAACATAGGTTAAAGGCCTTTTCTCTCCCCTAAACATAGAAAGGCAAGGTTGGCATTTGCTCAGAAGTACCAAAACTGGACCGTGGAAGACTGGAAGAGGGTTGTTTGGTCAGATGAGACCAAAATTAATCGATTTGGGTCAGATGGGCACAAGTATATATGGAAACAGCAAGGAGAACCACTTGGAGATAGAGGGGTTGAGCCAACCGTAAAGTTTGGAGGAGGCCATATCATGGTTTGGGGCTGCATGGGATGGAATGGGGTTGGGATACTTTCAGAGGTTGAGGGGAAGATGGATGCCAAGTAATATGTGAACATTTTTCAGGAAGGACTGGTTGAAAGTATTCAGAAATTAGAGGTCCCTGAGGAGAAGGTGATCTTCCAGCAAGACAATGACCCCAAGCATACTTCAAAGCTTGCCTCAAATTGGTTTGAAGAACAAGGGATCCCTCTCTTAGACTGGCCAGCACAATCTCCAGACCTTAATACCATAGAACATTTATGGAATCTGCTGAAAAGGCAGATTAATAGCTATGAAATGCCAGCCTCAGGAGTGTGGGAGTTGTGGGAGAGAGCAGAGGTGGAATGGGGGAAAATTAGGCCAGAGGAGTGTCAAAAGCTGATAGAAGGTATGCCTAGAAGGCTAGAAGCTGTTATCAAGGCCAAAGGAGGCCATACAAAGTATTAACTCTTTGATTATTGTATACAAAAACACTGGTCAAAAAGCTGTCCACATGATGTATTAGAATAGAAAATTCATATCTCCTTCATTTCTTCACCAAAGGGCATGAAAATTGTATGGATTTATAGCCATGATACTAGGCTATATTTGATACACTGGCACCATCATCTGATTCACTCTTGGTCACCCACAATACCGCGATGTTTCCGAAACAAGAAAACATGTGGACAGTTTTTTGAGTGACTGTATATGCCCAAGTTCTGTAGAGCCCTCGAGCAGCTGTACTGGACCAACTCTGTTTGACATTAGGCCAAGTACCTGTCAGGGGACGCCTCCAGATTTCCGCCCGGAACCTTTCCGTCCGGAACTATCCCTCGCGTCAAGCACCCTCTGGAAGCGATTCCGCGCGGGATTCACCCTCAACACATTCGTCGACTCCTGTGGCCGGAGAGTGGGAGGTTTGGTTGGAGACAGTGGTCGTCTGGTGGAGGGTATATGCGCATGTAGTCATAGCGCATGAGTGATGGGTTGTTTAGTGCCAGTCGGCGATCGGGACTGTTTCGTTGTTTTTCCGTTTGCTTCCGTTTGCTTTGTTTTCCTTTTCATTGGTTCATTCCCCTTTCCTTATTGTTTCCGAGTTCATCAGATCATTGTTCATTTTCCTTTTGGGGTTTACGTTCCGTTTCCGGACGGTATATAATGGGCTCACTCTGGCAGAGGCAATCCAAGTCTTTCTCTTTGGATTTCCCCTCTGCTAGGTGAGATTCCCGTTGTGTGTATATATTTCGTTCATTTATGTATCTTTGGATTTCCCCTCTGCTAGCTCTGCGTGACATCTGCTCGGCTTCAAGGGTTGCCCTTACAGTACCGGGATGTCTGATGTGTCATTCATTGCTGTATGTATTTCATTCTTTCCTCGTTCATTCCTATATCTTTCTGTATTGTACTTACACTTCTTGGTGCTTAAGCATGCTCATTGGACGTACTGAAGCGCTCATTAATAATAAAGTCAAACTGGGCACTTCATCATGTTCGTTTGGCACAATGAAGCGCCCAGAGAGATTAGGGGTTAGACAGAATATTACCAGCCTCTTCCAAATCTCAAGCACACTTTGTTTGATGCAACTTCCCCTTGATGGCCTACATACCTGGAAGTTAGTAGAGAGCATCTATGACTGACCACTGACTTCATGATGTGGTTCTTTTATTATGATGAGATCACAGATGTGAAGACTGGCAGTGATACCAGAAAACTAGCAGAAAGGCTCATGGTGGTCATGAGGTCAGTTTGAAGATTAATCAAATACAGTGAAGGCGATTATATTATCTTACATCAATTTTTTTGTAGATATCCGAACACTGTTCTATTGGAAGATGACCCTATTTAGGTTCAAAAGAACCAAGAGTGAGTTTTGAAGCAGGTAGTGAGTGCAGATGGGAAAATAAATACATCTATTATTTATGATTCTCTCCCGAAATACACTGGTTTATTGGTCAACTGTAGTCATCTGGCGTAACTTCATTTCACCCTTCATGGCAGAAAGAAAGTCATACTATGATCAAGAATTTAGAGACAATATTTCTAAATGGGAAGGTTATACTGTTTATGCTTGTCAAACACGTATTCCCAGACTGTTTCCTTCCAACTGGACCAACCATGGTTTTTGCAGTTGATTCAATCGCTGACTGATCAAGCGCTACTAAATGCAAATTCACCGATACAATGGAAGAGCAAGAAACCTTTGATCTTTCCTGCTGTACAAAGTCTCTTCGGAATTAGTGCAGGACCAAGCTAAACAACGATTATGTACGCTACGGGCGCTACGTCGTGCACAATGGATATAGTCTACCACCCACTCAATCAAAATATTAGGCAGACAGATCTGTAAGAGCTTCTGATAAATCAATAATATTTAAGAGTATATTTCACTATAAAAATCAGAAATATGCACTTGTTATAATCTCATCCAAGTTCAACTCCCAAGGATTTGAGTGGGATTGAAACAGAGTGAGTCATTGAGGGTTGGCCTGTTGACGAGGATCCTTTGATTGACAAATTCAGGAGGTGCAGCTTGTTATATGGATGCCAAAGGAATATACAAGATCATTCTAATTATGAGTGACTCCTTAAATATATAATACGATATGTGCCTCCCATACGTAGACTTCTAGTGCATCCGGTAACAAGCACAGAGAATATACTCGCAGCATAAAATATAAAACAACATAACGGCACATACACAAGACTGCTGACAACCTGTCTAACTATTCATGTGTAAAACAGGCAGTGGGTTGATTTGCCATGAATGTGTTTGTACTAAATGCAATGATATCACCAGTATGGCAGTGATGTAGACTGACAATGATGTTGCGCATAACTGAAGAACTCCAATTGTAACATGCAGCATGAGACTATACAAGGAAGTGTCTTTGTAACAAGCACTTCAACAAGTACAACGAACACAATGAAGCGCCGAGTACGTGACAATCCGATATGTGACATGAGAATGTTGTAAATAACCCTCAGAAGATATTGGATTAGGGGTTTTAAGTCAGGATAATTATTATTATACAAGAACAAAATACTAATTACAATAGGATACTCAAGATTTCATAACAGGGAAGTGGAGATTCTAGATTTACACTAGCCGAGCTTTAAATGAGCTTAACTGAGGTGATAAGTGACAACTTTGCAATATCCCATAATCAGAGCATGACATATCAACATGTGACACATTTTATAACGTAAATGAGAGCACGGAAAACATTGGATTTTGGAATTTAAGTCGGGATAATCATTTTTACAAAAAGCCAGTATACTACTTACAATAGGATATTCAACTTTTCACAAAAGCAAAGTCGAGATTTAAGATTTACACTAACTGAGCTTAACCAGGCTTACCTGAGTGGAAATGTGACAGAAGTGACATTTTGCAATATCCCACATGGGCAAATGAGTGACCGTGCGAACAATCCTAGTGCATTAGGCTAATTCAATCGGTAACTGTGGGACACCAAAACATAATGCATGGGATTATGAGGATAATCCTAAGGCCTCTGTAAGGGCAACCCTCGAAGCCGAGCGGACGTCACGCAGAACTAGCAGAGGGGAAATCCAAAGAGAAAGACTTGGATTGCCTCTACTAGAGTGAGCCCACTAAATACCGTCCGGAAACCGGAGTCGTGAAGCTGAACGGAAAATCAACAATGACCTGATGAACACGGGAACAATAAAGGAAAGGGGG